AATTAATGAACCATACTACAGTTCTTCCCAGATATCAGTGATACAGCAGTGCACTGTGGTATTTGCTGGGTGTCCTTGTAAGTACTTCTAGATTACATGGTGCTAAAATATTTGACTCAAGCACAAACACACTCATAGCCAGAGCTGTAATATATGTCAGGTTACTTGAGAGCTGAGGATCAATGTTGGATAATAGGGCTTTTAAAGAATATTGTGCAAATATTTGTATTCTAAGGAAAATCTCAACTTTCGCTATATATTAGAATACTCTGAGGTTTTGCTTTGCAGTTTGTTGAATTATATTTTCAATAATCTTGAGCAGCAGAGTGCACTGTAGTTTAATTGTTTGAATAGAGCATTAGTTCTCAAACTTTTTCACATCAAGGACCCCTAAACTGACACATATTAGATTTTGTCCCAAGGTCCCTCATCTGATTGCATTTTTGCTTTTAGATGTTTTATTACAGAAAGTGTATGAAACCTATGACCAAAATAGTCATACATTCTGTCTTTGTGTTACTTATGGATGGAATTATGTTCCAGATGTGAGAGAGTTACTCAGCAAAATGAACCATTAAAAAGACTTTTCCCCTAAGGTTAGTGTAGGGAAGGCGATGACCACTAGGTAAACTACATAAACCTTTTCCAAATCTAAATTCACTTTATCAATATTATAGAAAAATGTGGAAAAGGTTTTCATAAATGTCTAATGAAGCCAATATGAAGCCTGTAATGACTGTTTAAGTTCTAATGTTACTAAAGAGGCTTTGGGTTCTCTTCAACTCTGTCTGTGACATTGCCTCACAAAGCTGAATCACTTTTGATTTGAATGTCACTCGTCTAGCTGACTGACGCTTCGCTTGCTGGCAGCATATTGCTGATATAAAGAATGCATTTTTTTTTTTGGTAGGTGGAATAGCTGATCAGATTAGACGAAAATCTAAAAACTATAATCACAACCTGCATGTACAACAATCATGATGGGGCACGTTGTGTAAATGTGATGCTGAAATTACGTGAGGTGCACATATCTCCCGACTACATATGATGTTGCATATAATGAATGGATACCGTTGCAGCAAAGAGTGCCAACTTGCATGTTTTTTGGTACAGAAAACCCATTATCAAATTTAGTGGTTCCAAGTATCCCTTCAATAAGGCAATAAACTGATGGAATTGTATTCCCACCAGCCATCAATAGCAAATATTCTTACAGTAATAAGGAAAGGCACAAACAACATAAAGCTCTGATTACAACACGTTGCTAAAGTTTAAGCTGTACAAACCTTGGGAAGGTAGATTATTTCCCAGTGGAGCATAGACAGGAAAAAACATGTATGTGTCTGCGACACTGAATTATAACAAACTCACATAGAAAGTAATATGTAAGTGTTGTGCTACTGTTGTAGTCTGAGCTTTAACCCTCAGCACAGTGGTGAAAAGGCATGATATACACACATCTTTTAGAGAAATCCTAAATGCTCCTCTTCATCTTTGTCTGCTAGTGTCTTCGCAACGCATGTTGCACATCATTACACTGAAGCATGATGCAGAAAAATGACGTGTGGACAGAAATATCAGTGCTTGTCTCATTGTGATAAAGTAGCTTAGTGTTAAATAAAATATTCTATCTTTCTGGTTCTATTTGCCACCTCTTTTACATGGTAACAAACTTATGGGGTGAACAACAAATTAACACTACTGTATATTTGCAGGTATAATACTATGCATGCCTGTTCCAGTTTTCTGAAATGTTACCCTAAATTATGAAATTCCTGCAACTGAACTACATCCAAAAACTGTCAAATCTTTCAAAATTAGACAACTTTCAATAGAGGGACACAGAAGTGCTTGAAAATGTATCTGATGAAAAATAGGATTAAAAGTTGTAATCTCAGTGACAACATTTGCATTATGTATTTAGTAGGTTATTACAAAGGGATGGGAAGATGACTAGGCTTTGTATTCCTAATGTGTAAAACACAACTGTAATACTCCCTCAAGGTAAGAACCAAACTGCAATGCTTTTGTGAGTGATACTTTTAATTGAATCTTACAAATGAATTAATTAAGGGTGTTTTGGGAGCTAATTAGTTTGAAAACTGAACATTTTAATTTCAGTGCTTTTCATGATATTTCTGATTCATAACAACACAGATGCATATTGGGAACACTTTTTAATACAGCATTTTTAAGTAACTCATCTGTGATTACTTAATGCAGAGTTGGTAAACCTAAACCTGATAGAAACTTTCCATATATAACAGGGTCCTGTCTTTGCTTTTATGTTCTACAGCCACATTTCTAATGGGAATCTGTATCAGCACTGTCCAACTGAGGTAGTTTTGTTTGTCCAGTGATTCAGCTGACGAGGAAGTAATATGAATAGTAGCGATACCAATATCAATATTTGAGGCATAAAAAGTCAGCTATCCATATCAGTCTGTATTCATATTTTAACAAAATAATTATAAGCAAGATATGTACTGAGCAGGACATTTCACAATTGAGAAATAAACTGCTCTCTGGTGGACAAACTTTGTAATGGCGAAACTTACCTCAAATATAAACAAAGGTCAGACACCTGTACTGTAATTTCTTGCTGCATTGATTTTGTATGCACTGGGACCAATATATCTGTTATAAGTTAATATTTATGTGATTTATCAGTCAGGGTGTAGCTAGTACATTTGACAATCCGGTCTCACTTACAACAGTTTTAAAAAGTACAGAAAAAAATCCTACAGTCTTACTTTTTAAATCTCCATTTGTTAAAAAACTTCATATGCAGGAGAAGCACATGTACCAAGGGTATAAGTTGTAGTTGTTATGACGCTCTTGTTTAGGTGTTAAAATATTAAATGTTAACACAGTTACATTGAAGAAAAATGTTTTCCCGGATTCTGCAGTGTTTAGTACAGTATTTATGGCTTATTATTTATTGCTCCTGATCCTGTGTGCAGCACCTCACCCGGAATGGTCCATTTACATAAAGCATTCAGCCTTCATGACTGCTGTCATTCAGGCCAATTCTGAAATGGATTGTGCACAGAGTGTGTCTGCATGAGTTGTTTTTCAATCAGCCAGGAGGATTAAATGCTATCAGTGACAGGTTAATGCATATTAATGTAATTCATCTTAACTTTTGTCTTTTGCCTTTGTTTTGATTATCTCTTGTGGATTTGCAGACTTGAATTTAGAATCTGATGTTAGAATTGTCAGTGGAAATGATCAATTAAATGTAAGGATCAAAACAGTCAATGTAGTATGAGTATGTAGAATGAGATAAAGCCTTTTCATGTTGTATTATAGCCTAACAGGTAGTTGGGATTCTCAAGTGTAGCTGGTGACCTTGTTAAATCTGGCAATGCACACAGTTGGTCATTTTTAAATCATACAAAGCACAGTATGCAGTGTAATATTCCAGAGGCAAATGCTCCTCTGCATTACAAATTTGTGTCAGCACCTTCTGCTTTTGCGCTGAACCCACATGGTCAATAAATTCTCACTGTTTAAAAGGGGCATGAGTTGAATTGTTCTCTCAAAGATCTAATGAAATGACGAGGAATTGCCCTTCAGGACACATGGGATTGATTCTTTACCATCATCCTCATGGTAATTGGCTTTGTATAGTTCTGCTCTGAATTATAAGTGAGGTGTATAGAGAATGTATGTCACACAAGAGCACTCAGTCCTTCAAGGTTTACAGTTCAGAAAGGCAACAAAGCTTCCACAGGGATTAGAGATGTGCATGGTTCCAATTTAAAAGCTAAAATGCAGCCTCAGCATACAAAAGAGAATGAGTGCACGTCTTGGTACAAGGTCCCTATTTAACCCATTCTGATTAAAAGTTGTGATGGATTAGAACATGCTGAAAAAAGCTGCATTCCTTTTGTTTGGCAATGAAAATTAGTAACCGAGTTGATTTCTTGTTTTGATAATGAATGGGGGAGCATCATGTAATTTACATTTATTCATACTGACAGAAAAGCCAATCATTTAAACGCCTGGAATATATTTTTAGCACCACCGCCTTTTCTCAAGAGGTATGGCCAGGTCAGCGATTTGATTTGAAGTGGGAGTGGCATGGAAGGCCACTGTGCAAAATTGAACCAAATTCCACCGGCAGCATGTTAAACCATGTGTAAAATCCTTGCGATGGGCTTAGAAAATGATCCTTGACTGGAGCCACCGTTTTCCCCCCACCTGTCTTTTGGGATGGTCACACTCATTTCTGTGCACCACTCCTTTTGAAGAAAGAGGGATGTCCTGTAGCCCATTACCCTCCCCTGCGCCTGTGCACTGATTCCTGACACACACCCAGACACCAGGTCACAACCTCTGAGAGCAACAGCCTCTTCACACAACATAGACAGGTCTTTCTTCGGTTACTGCATGCTGTCCCGTTTATTGTATTTCCAAGACTCCAAGAAAGATACTCAGTGTGCATTATAAACATGCTCAAAGTGATAAGAGTCAATTTTGCAGTGACACTTATTTTGAATTGTGTTGACTCCAGGCTTGTCTGTCTGCTCAAAAAGCTGTTATGATTCTGGGCTGTCTGTTCAAAACTGTCTAAAAGTGTTAAATGAACTCTTCTTGCTGTGGGCATATTTTAATACATTAAAACACTGGCATGGTGATTTTTACACTCTCACAGTTAAGACTTGCTTTGACAAAAAAAACATGGAGTCGAGACCATCATCATTGCTTCCTTTTAGAGCCTTGGAGGGTGAATGTGAAAGCTCACATTGGCCCCTCATTATCTTATTATATTTTATGATATTTTATAATGGGCTCAAACTATTACCATATTCCTGCAGAGGCTTATTGTTCTGCTCTGGTATTTACTATATTATCCTTCTAGTATTGATCATGGGATTACTGATGTTTTCTCTCGAAATGCATGTAAGAAAGTAACCCTTATGTCACATGGTGTAATTGTTTTGACAGTTTACCAGAGATCAGAACTATTTCTAGGTGTTCTCCATTGGTGAAGCATCTTTATTAGTCAAAAAGCGTGGGCGGGACTCTTGCTCTCTGCAGCGAGTCAAAGAGAAAGGCAATAAAGGGAGACAGGAGCTGCACTTTGCAGACGAGCATCTCTGCCGTCCTGCTAGACTACAGTAATCGCTGCCCCCGGATCTGCGAAAATACACAGGGACTTCTCTGGAAAAGGCAGAGTTCATCAATTTAACTCCGGTCAGTCCGAACCTGCGCTGTTTACCTGGATAAGTCCATCCCGACGAGAAGAAAGAAAAAGAGAGAAAAAGACAGCGACAAACGCGAGTGGAGTGTCGACGTAAAATTGTGAAGGAAAAGAGAAGAATATGATTGTCAAGCAGCACTTGATCTTCATCCTTTACAGCCTCTGTGCAAGCGTCTTTAAAGGTGAGCGCTGGATGCTGCTGTATAGACGGGCGTGGTGTGCGGAGAGGTGGTGGCTGCTGTTAAGTGTAAAGATCATATGTGATCATGTCACATGTGAGTTCAAGTAGCCTATTAAATACAAAGAGTTGATTTTCCGTTAAAATTATGTGTGTTTGCGCAGCAGTTTTGGCCAGGAGGACAGCTGTCGTCTGCTGTCAGGGCAGACTGTGCTGGAATGCCTGGAAGTTGAATTGTGCAACGCAATGAAAAGCAGAATGCGGCTGCACAAGTTTTTGTATCGGAGGCAACTTGGATCTTGCCCTTCCTTTGGTACTAAGTGACAGATGAAACATCAGGCTCAAGATGAGTCGCCTGCAGTCGCCTCCTGTTTGTCTCTTCATCTAGTTATGTCCCCTGGAGCTGACACAGGGATGCAGGAAATGTTACAGCGGCTGGTGGCGTGCGTCTTGTTTGGTGTGAGACCGCTGTCATTGAGTTGATCATTTTAAGTCCTGCTGTCGGGTCTCTGTGGGCCTTTAAAAAAAAAAAAAAAAAGCAATTTCACGCATGCCTTTAAATCAGTGACAATAAGTGTTCGATATAGCAATGACTGCATTTGAGCGGAGCTTTTGTCTCCAGCACGGCGAGTTTGCATACTGTATAGGCTAAGTGTACGCGTGTGTGTGCGGACGCATTCTCCACCAGTGCCTGTATGCATTACTAACCGTGCAAGCCACGTAGTCGCTCATTCAAAGTTGGGCTGCTAGAATCAGACGCAGGCAAGGTTGCGTGTGTGATACCACTCTGCAGCCAGGCATCAGTGTCTCCTCATGACAACTCCCTTAACTCCCCAGACAGTCCCGCTCTTGGACATGCTTACGCAGCCACCGCCCTGTAGGCGACCAGTGCGCAGATACATAACACCCACAGCTTGTGGGGGGTAGGGGGTGGTGTCAAAGGGTTTTACATCAGGAACACCCAAATCAAAGCAAAGCAAAATCCCCTGCTGGCCCCAATTTAAAAAGATTTTGTCTCCCATGACATCAGACATAAGATGTTTTTGGGTTTTTTTTCCTTCTCAGTGCTGATTCAGTACACTGTAGTGACAAGATAACTGTAGTGAGAGTGACCTATGATCCCATTGTTCATTCCTATAGAGCTGATAATTTTAATGATTTAGAATTAATTTAAACAATTTCTGTTGGAGATTTCCCTCAAGTATACTCCACTTTGAGTCCCAATACAAACCATCAAATCGGTAAGAAACCCATGTCCAGAGTCTCTATAGCTGCTCATGCAATTTCCAAACTGCATCAAAAATTAGATAAATCATTAAGAAGCCCTGATGGCTTAGGCCAAATGCTGGGCAGCTTAAATCTTATAAGACTGACTTTTAAATTTATCTCTCTTACAAAATGTTTTTTTTGCTTTGATATATTTTGCTATTAGCAGTCATGCTGTCTTCGCTGAGTTTCCACCCCACACATTTGTTTCATCTCACTGAGCTGTTCAACTTGAGATGCCATCAAGTGTTGTATATCCAGCTGTGACCTGATGACGCATCCAGCCACATCCACCTTGCGCCATGCCCTCTGAAGCGGTGCCCCCTATGGAGTGAATCATGGTTAGGGTTAAATGACCATGCATGTTTTATAGTCCATTAACTACAAACAGTGTAGATGTTGCATAACTGCTAATCTCATGGTATTCTTTGGAAAGCACACCATATCTTTTTAGATCATTTCCTACCATCCATCCATTAGTGTTAGTCAATATTGTACGGAAATTAACTTAACCATTACTGGGATATGAGAATTGGCCTCCAATAAGAATTGCATCCATGGGCTAAGCTGAAAGCCATACACAACATAAAATAAATAATAAAGATTTTAAAGAGGTAGTATTATGCTCATTTTCAGGTTCAAACTCCTATTTAGATGTTGTACCAGAACAGATTTACATGGTTTAATTTTCAAAAAACACCATATTTTGTCATACTGCACATTGCTGCAGCTCCTCTTTTCACCCTGTGTTGAAGGCTTCCTTTTAGCAATGGAGTGATACATCTTGTTTCTAAATGATCTTTGTTGGGAGTTGCACATGCGCAGTTCCTATTTAAGGACTACTAGCCAATCAGAAGCAGAGAAGGGCAAGTCAGCGAAAAGACGGTAAACCGCTTCGGTTCAGCTGTAGGCTACATGTTGCCGACCAGCTTGACAACATGGACTGGAGCAAGAGTTTCAGAGTGGTGAGTTATTAATCTGTAACAAAAGTATCTTTCATCCATAAAGTTTTAACTGAGCTCTGTCTCTATATCACAGTAACAACTTCATGTCCATTGACTGCTTGGAGGGTAGCTAATGTTTGGAAGGGAGAGGTGTGCTGCAGCTCAGTGTTTTTCTACCGGTGTTTTTGAGGGCGTGTCGGACTAGTCACTCAGCGAGCATTATGACATGCATTTTCATTGTGACGTCACAAGAAAGGGAAGTAAAGGCTGGACTACAAATGAGCTGTTTTCAGGCAGTTCAGAGCAGTGCTTTCTGTGGGAGATGGGAACTCCCTTTGGGCTGGACTTTGGGCTTTTTCACTTTGCAAACCTAGTATATGCACAAAAACATATATAACTCAATAAAGGAGAGGGAAAAAGCCAAAAACCATAATACCACCTCTTTAAAAGGATAGGAATGTGAGTCTGTGAGCATCTTGCATTAGAAGGTGGCGGCACCTTCAGCTCACCCAAAAGGAAGAGCTTTCTATTGCAAAGGTTTACACAAGAAGAACAAAGTGGATTAAATAGTCCTGGATTATGTTTCTTAAGCACCTTTTAAGTTTCAGCAGGATGATTTTTAAAGCTGAATGGAAACAATTGAAACTGATGGTATGCTCTGGAAAATTATTTGAAGTGAAATGGTGCATGTGAGTTGCAGTCAAAGATATGGGTAGAATTTTTGTTTAATACATTCAAAACAATGAACCAACATTATTAACAGAATGTCAAATAGTAACAGTTCTGACGTTATGCCAAATATGTCTATTTAATGCATGTTGCAGAGGTATCTACTGGAGTTAGTATGCTAAGGAGCTAGCCCCGGTCCGTCCTGTCTTGTAATATTACTTGTGCCTCAAGGAGCAATAGTCGTACACTATAGCTCAGGCCTTCCCCCGCACCCCCTGTAGTTTCAGCTGGGATATGTGTGCGAGCGGTGATTTTGCTAAGTTACAAAAGCTCTCTTAGCATTTTTATTCTAAACCAACTAAACTCACAATCTGTCAAGAAATAAAACATTCTTACATCTGTTTTCCTTATTAAACAGAAAAATACAACCCTACACTTTCATGAGTTGTCAAATTGTCTCTCTTTCACAAACTAATTGCCCTGTTAACTCATTGTAAAACATACTTTATTCAAACTGACTGTCGCTGACTCTCTGAAGCCCGACCTCCCTCTCACTCCTCTCCCACTTGACGCCACTCCTGTACCCGTCTGAACCCGCCATGTCTTTGTCGTCCCTGGAGTCAGAGTTCTGGTCAGAGCTGCTTTAAATGACCCAGTACTGTATTCCTTGTTGTCAAACTGGCCTCCGTCAGTCTCAGAGTCTGTGTTTGGTCCCAGCCAGATGTTTTCACTGGTGACCATTCAGGACTAATAAGACAACTAAGCACAGCTAACTAGCTAACTGCAGTTGTGACCTGATATGTGATATGATGCCCCCTTCTTTTTTGGAGTATGAATTTGACAGTTTATAATAGTGGGCTGTATCAGAGGGCTGTGATCAGAAATTATGCTTTTCCTGCTTTAGAGTACATCTATAAATACTGTAACATGGAAAGCAAGAGGTCAAAATGTTCATGGACTAGGAGCATATGATTTATTTTGTTATAAAACTATTAACATATTTAGCTAACACAACAGTGATAGCAGTGTTGAGAAAACGAATGGACAGCAGAAAGCTAGCCCATTTTGCAACAGATTTGGGTTCATGACATCCTGCCAGAGAGAACAAGGCACAGAGAGTTTTATCATCTTCATCCAAGAGTTGTGCTAAGATAGTGCCCACTTCAAGAGCTGCTTTAAATATTTATACTATGTGGCTCAAGTTTAGACACATAACCTAGGAGTGCCCAGGGCAGTGCCCCAAAAGCCTGTGTAGAAAGCACTCGGAGAGCACAGTCCTCTAACAAGGCTGCACAATCCTCCAAATCTGTTATTAAAATGGTCAGAAATGTTTAATCTGCATTGGGATTGTGATCTGCAAAATACACAGAGGTGGGCAATTATTGGACACGTATGTCTTTTTTTTTTTTTTTTTCAGTAGTAGTAGTTTGTGTCAAATATACAAAGAATTTCCTGTATTTCTGTGTTTTTTGTTAAAATAAATTGCCTGTGTGCATCTAGATTTGGTTCTGTGCTAGACCATGGCCAGACCTTTCACCATTTCATTTATCTGTAAACAATCTTTGAGATATCGTGCTCGCTAACAGACAAACAAACCGACAAATGGGGATGAAAACAACCTCCTCTGTGAAGGTAATAAGGTGCATGCATCTTCTATGCGATCACAGCCTAATCGACATTTAAATTGCAGTGCGCCGCATCACACACTGCAGTGATACTGTAGACAAGACTTCAGCCTCAGCAGCTCTGTTCATGCTCCATAATGCTGAGAGTCATTTCAGGCAGGCTCATCCTTCTTAGAACAACTACACTATTAGTATTTTGCTTTAATGCATTGCTGAACTGTCATCTATAGATGCAGCCTACAGAATGCTTCACTGCCTATATGTTTAATATGCTGTAGTGACAGAGTAGATCAATTCCTATGTAGCATTACTGAATATCTATACTCTCTATTGTGTTTCCTGCCATGTGCTCGTTTCTGCACCAATGGGAACTTATGTCACTCTGTGAGGTGTTGGTGTACCACTGCACCAGTCTCACCAAAGTCAGCTAACCGGACTTATCAGAGCCAGTTAACAGGTTAGGTAGCAGACAGGCTAGTAATGCTAATTAGCCATGCGGT